TGTGCTAAATTCTACTCCCTGGAAACTCATGCTTCTTGCAAATTCCAGCTTAAACCCGAGGCTGAGAGAAGCAGCTAAATCCCATCTTTCCGGCCTCTCGTTCCACAACTTCAGCGTGATTCTTTTTTCTTTTTTTAAAAAAAACTTTACCTAAGAGGGGGCTTGGGGGATCCACTTGCTCTGGCCGGCCCAAACCACGTGCTTCTGTTGGGAGCTTGGGAGGGGTCAGCACAAGGCGGTGCAGCCTCCCCCCCTCAGCTAGCACCAGGAGCTCCATTCACCCGTTGCCAGCCAATACCCCGGAGGCTGTGGAAGCTCTGGAGCAATGTGCCTCCCCACTCCCTGCTGGGGTCATGAACCCCCCCAAGCCCAGACACCTCCCTGTCAGCCTCACAATTATGGGGCATATGCTTTTGACCAGGGGGAAGAGCCTGGACCCCCTCTTGCACCGGGCCACCTGCCCCCCAGCCAGCCTTTTTCCCTCGACTACCGGGCGCTCTGACCCGGAGCTCTTAGGCAGCCCATCCTCCCCTGCCCAAGTTTGGGAACTTCTTTCCTTTGCATTTCAAAAAAAGGCTGCAGCGTTTTCCTCTATTCCCCCCCCCCCCCGGGGGACAGTGACCCGGACCAGAAGCGTCCCAACGAATGGGGAGAGGGCTTTTCTTCGCTTGCCGCTCCTGGATCGCCTTGGGAGCCCACCGACACAGGCCCCGAAGCCACCACAAACGTGGCTGACGGACCGCCCCTCCGGCCGACGCAGGGCTGGCGGGCTCGATCCGTAGCTCCCCAGAGCCCAATGATCACAGGGCAGCTTTCGGTAAACCCTCGGACTCTTCCAGCTCAGCAGGGCCGCCCAAGAGCTGAGGGCCCCCCTCGACCATGGGGCGGGGGTGAGTGCCACGGCAAGGCTCCCGGGCAGCTTCTGCCCTCAGCCTGCCCTCATTCCCCTGGGTGGGTCGTGGAGCCTCCCAGCTTCCTTTCCTTGCTGCTTCCCACCCAGAAGGGATTAATGCCAAGAGCAGCAGAGTAATTGGGAGTTAATGTGGGCCTGTGTTTTTTATTACACTCAGTGCATTAAATTGATAGGTGGGTACAAAGGCCAGGAGTGTCACCTCTCAACAAGATGAAATCGATGTAGCCAGCGGACAGCGGAAAGCAGCAAGATTTATATAAAGGTCTCTGGAAAATTAACATTTGGAAGGGAATGGAAGGGGCTCTCGCAGCCGCCTCTGAAGATGGAAAAACCCTCCCCACTGAAGCCCCACTGGTTGGAGGGGTGGGCGGCATGGCGGAGCGGGGCCGGCTGGCCAGGCGCCTCCCCTCACAACGCCCTCGGCTCCTGCCCTGAGAGAGGCAGGGTGGGTCCTGGACAGACAGACAGCGCAAGTGGCACCGGCTGAGGGTCAGGGAGGGCTGCGGGTGCAGCCCAGGGGGACCCTGCCCCCGCCCTCCGCCAACCTCACCAGCTGGGCCCCCACCCAAAGCCGCCTGGCCCAGGTAGAAGACCCCCGCTCAACGCCCCCCTGGGGGAAATGGCCTTGGCTGCTCTGCACGTCATGGCTGGGTCCGCACAGCTACGTTGAACTGCAAACTGGGCAACCCCAGTTTGGCCTGGTCTGGCTGGGCAGGCCGGCACGCGGTGGGAACTGGCCGTGCCTGCTGGCTGGAGCCCCTCCATCTCAGCCCCCTTCTGCCAGCCCATGGATGGGTGCAAATTCCATCCAGCATCTCTGGGGGAGGGGGGGTCATTGTTTGACCAAGGCAGCTTCCTGCATGCTTGAGCTGTCAGCCAGTGGAACAGGCTGCCACGTGAAGTGGTGAGCTCTCCTTCACTGGAGGTCTATCAAACAGGAAGGCCATCTATCAGCAGCGCTCTAGGGGAAGAGCCGGGGGTGGCCTCTGAAGTACCTGACGACCCTGGAATTCCATATTTTAACCGCCCTATGAGTTAGATTAGGCTAAAAGAGCAGGTGTGGACTACTGCCCTCGGCTGTGGCTGCTGCTTTGTGCCTTCTTTGGGTACCCTTTGCCAGGCCCGGTGCCCTCCTCTGCTTTCTTTCCACTTTTCCTGGGAAGGGATCACTTCTGTCCCCCCAGCTGGAAGCCCTCATTCCTCGCCTTCCTCGGTAGCTGGATGTGCCTCCAGTCCCTGTTCAATGACCAGGAAATAAATGTTTTCACTGGGGAGTCCTTAGAGCCAATACAGAGGACTACTAAGACAACATGTTAATTTCTGAATACTGAAAGCAGATGGTGAATTTAAAAAATCAGCCAGAGCTTTACTAGAACATCAGTTTCCTTTCACTCCAAGGAAGAGCAGGGAAGACGACTGGACGATGGAGAGCGGGACCAGGTATACTCAGGGATGCCTGGAAAGAAAGGGATCCACCCGTTTCCTTTCGATGCCACAGCCAGCTTTGCTCCAGTCCAGGAGCATGGAGATTTTGGCTGCAGCACCACAGCCTGCCCTGGGGGACCGACCCAGCATGCCTTGCTCTGCCTGGCTGCATGGGCAGTCAGAAGGCCCCGGTGATTTGCCTGGGTGGGCTTGCCCGCGCCCCAGATGCCCCGCCAGGGCTTCTTGGACTGTCTCCTTTTTGGCCTACCTGACAGCAGCAGCAGAGATCCTTTGCCTTGCCCTCCCAGTTGGCGGGGAAGACGGGGAGCGATTTTGCTTGGGAGCCTAAGGATGGCTTGCTTTTGAACACAAGCCATTTCATCCATAATTCCATTGCTGGTCATCTCCGGGGGAGAGCCAGTTTGGTGTCATGGTTAAGGCACCAGGCTAGGCCATGAGTTCTAGTCCCGCCTTGGGCACGAAGCTAGCTGGGTGACCGTGGGCCAGTCTCCCTTTCTCAGCCCCACGAAGGAGAATGGCAAACCACTTCCAAAAAACCTTGCCAAGAAAACTGCAGGGGCTTGTGCAGGCAGTCGCCGGGAGTCAAAGACTGTCTTGAAGGCGTGCACACATGCGCGCACACACACAAACACACCCGCCCAGGGTCTCATCTAGCTACCATTCCTTTCTTGCACCGTAACTACCTCTGAAAATACAAAGCCTTCTTCGTCCAGATTCTGAAAAAACACACAGAGAAAGACCCTGCCCCTGGATAGTGCTTGCCCTCCACCCGAACTTTGCCAAAACTGGAGTGGGGAATCAGCAGGCCTGGAGGTTGACAGAACTGAGTAGCTGGGCAGACACCATGGGCTAAGTGCCTGGTCCCAGCCCAGACAGTACACAGACCGAGGATCTCAGTCGCAATTTTACTTCAGCTTTGCGCAGTTACACGTGAAGGCAGGCAGGGTGGGTGTGCAAGTGCACACCTGGAACCACCATGGCCCAGTCCCCTAGGGAGCTTGCTAAATGGGCAGAGTCCAAGCAGGGAGGCTGAAGTGCATTCAGGCCACGGTCTGAACGTCCAAGAGTCCAAGCAGGGCTTGTCAGCCAGTACGGGTTCCTAGGGTAATGGCTTCAAGAGACAAAGGCAGTGTTCTGGTTTGTTCCCAACGAGGGAAACAAGGGGAGCTGCTGCGTCTCTTAAATAAACCGAGCAAGGCCAGGAATGGCCCTGCCTGCACGTGACGTGCTCTGGCGCCAGGCTCCAGCGCCGCCTCCTCTGATGGTGGCTTCTGGTGACTGCCGGGTGGCTCAGCCTCACCTGCTGGAGCGCTCAAAGCTCCTCTCCCTTTCCCTGCCCAGCTGGAAGAGTTTGCATTTGTCACTGTTGAAATTCACCTTGTTCCAGCTCATCGCAACCCTCCTGAATCTTAATTACGTCCATCAGGACATAACCCTTTACGGACTTCTTGCTGACACCAGGAGTGAAACGTTGAAGTTTTATGGATTTGCTTATAGATAAGGGATGGGATATGGGGTGAAGAGGTATCTGTTTGTAACCTTAGAGGGGGTGAAGAGTTATTAAATTTGTTTATACTTCTTGTGACGGAGGTTGAAAGTCACTTCTTCATATGCCTCTCTTCTTTTTCTTGCACTTTTTACTTCTTCCTATTCTTTTCTTTTTTTAAGTTTAGTTTGTATTTGTTTTTACTATTGTAATTAAAATTCTTAACAAAGAAAGAAGGAAAGACAAAGAAAGAAGAGAGAACTCACCCAGGACTTTCATCTCAATCCCATATGGGTGGCAATTCGGGAAGGCTGGAAAAGAAGCCCAGTTGGCCAAGGGGGGCAGAGGGCTGGGGCCGACTGCAGTCTTCTCAAAGGGGAGGGGGCAAACCTGCAGAAACAGCACAATGAAAAGAAGGGTGCAGGGAGACATCCCCACTTCCTACACATGTGGAGAAGCCTGAAGCAGAAGTCCTTTTGCTGGGACATGAACATGGGTCAAGGCAAGGGCTGCAATTAAAACCCTGACACATGGCCGCAGCAGCCAGGCAGCTCCCTAGGAAAAAGGTGAAGCTGAGGTGCACCGGTTGCCAGAAGAGGAGCCTCACCATAGAGGTCCGTAAGAGGCTTTGCCCCCGTCTAGGGAACGGCTACTTTACCATACCACGCATTGCCACGTGAACCTGGTTCCCTCTTTCAAAACAGGGCTGCCAAGGTAGAAGGAAGCGGGGAAATGCCCCAAAGGGCCAGACCAGTGGGCAAGGCATGGGCTAAAAACTAGCCCCTGGCAGCTTTCCAGCTTGCCTTTCAGAAGAGGCACCTTCCTGTGGGCGCCCAAGGGCTCAGTAGCACTCAGCCAACAGCAGCTTGAAGGCAGGAACAACCCACATGTACCTGTCCTAGCCGTCAAACAGGAAGGCAGGGTGAAGCACAACGGAGCCATCAAAGGTGCTCCTAAAGGGGCTTGCTCCCTGCTGTGGGAGAGGTCCCTGAACTCACCAGCACTCATTTCAAAACATCCACGCAAAGAACAGTTGGGATAAAGTCCCTAGCTTCGCAAATGGGTGGAGGAGCCCCCCAGATCACAATATAAAAGGGTGAGATCAGCTCTGCCCTCTGTATGCACAGATGGCAATCTTGGAATCAGAAGTATTAGGACCTTGCAAATGTGGAGGTTTAATAACACGTACGGTGTATTTGGCATAAGCAGGAGAACCACAAAAATAAAAGCAAGCTGACACGAGGTGACCCTGGAGGAACAGGAGAGAGAGAATAGAAACCAGACGGATCTCTCTTCTTTGAAGTGAGGTACCACATGAGCCCAATAATCGCCATTGGCGCTAGTATCTGAAATTGGGCCAGGAAGAGTCCTGTTGGGTTAGAGGAACGTAGAGCCACCACACCAAGGCCAACCCTTAGTACTATCAGACGCTATATTCTGGTTGTAGAGGACGCAGTATGATTTACAGCATCGGCATCAGCATTTCTGTGTAACAGACCAAAAGGTATATAACCTGCAACCTTGTTCACTCAGGGCTCTCTCGCATTCTTTTGGCCCCAGGGATGACTGCTGTGGCACGTGCCAATCAAAGCCACTTTCTTTCATCCATCTCCACTCGCCTTGGTTCCTTATTTAGGTGGGTGTTTTTCCCACCAGTTTGGTATAGTCAGCAGGATCAGAAGGGCAAGAATTGGGGCCAACTGCTGTATTCGGCATGCCTGTCACCTTTGCAGGTTCACAGTCCCTGCCCATGCCCTTCTTCCTCTCCGATCCAGGACCCATTTGGAGCCACTTGGTTGGGGTCATGGGGATTTAATTGTGTATAAGACATTCTGCAGAGCAAGTCCAGGGACCTGCTGGAGTGAGTCCAGGTAGTTGAGACTCTGAGTCACCAGTTCCTGCCATCTGACTCTGCAAGGGACAGCAATGGGCAGTGGAACAGCTGGATGCTGGCGAGCGTATTAATGTGCCGAGATTCTGGAGCGCTCTATTAGTGGTCCGTCTGAACTTGCTCCTTGTTCGTAGTGGCGTGTTGTGTCCCTGATCGTATTCCTGCCCACACCCCCACTGGACCGGGCATCTCCTCCTCTCAGCTGCCCTCATTTGCATAGCTACGGGAGCTTCCCCCGTAGCCTCTGCGCTGCGAAAAGCGAGAAGGCTGATTCCCGTGTCCCTACAGGGCCATGGGTGGCCACGCAGGCGCAAGGAGTTTGTTTCTTCCGTGCATGTGTGTCGTCATATAAACCTCCCATTACTGACCAGAGCTGTCCATACGGCACATCCTTCTGCTCAAGAAACAAGGGGGACTGCGGACTCTGCGTGCTCCAGGGAGCTGCGCTTGCTGCTGGAGAGCACAAGCGCGCACGGTGGAACAGAGTGACTCACGCAGGGGATGGCTGGTAGGGCTAGTGCGGAGGAGTGGAAGAAACACGAGACAGCAAATTCAAAATGTACAGAGGCAATGCATGTGAAAGGATGCCCTGCCTACGAAATGCGCACAGGCAGTCTGTTCAGCAATCACCTGCTGTGATCCTAAAGGAACGAGAGTCTCAGATCAGGGATTCCGCTGCAGTTTGGATCAGAAGCATCATCTCAGGAAAGAGGAAGCGAAGGCTCAAGTACTCCAGAGCAGTTTTGCTGATATCCCCAGAAAGTTCCCTTCTGTAACAAGTACCCTAAACCTTCCACCCTACTGGAGGAACTGGACATGCCCTGAAGACGATGCGCTGGACGGGTGCCATGACCTCCTTCCCATGATGGAAAACACCGGCAGGTATCAAGGTACGCGAAAGAGGGGCTCAGTGGAGAAGCTAAAGAGGAGGATGGGGCACAATGCGTGTCCCCCCCAAAATGTCACCCTCCAAGCACAGAAGAACCTACTGCCCTCTCCGGACTGCAGCTGAAACACCCCCAAGTGATCTGCATGACACGGCCAGCAATTTTCCCTCCCCCTATAGTGATCCTAGGAAATTCCAGCACGAACAGGGCTTTGTCTTCCAGGCTTAACATCCCACTTGGGGTTAACAAACCCAGACCAGGAAAAGCAGCCTGGCTGGTCCAGAGCCCTACAACGGAAGCTGAACTAACCCAAGCTACGGCTACTTTGCTGACAGCAGCGCAAGCTTTCTACCTGGTAAACCCAGGCTGGTGCAGCACAGCTGCTTGGTGACAGAGAAGCGATGAGCACCCTGCAAATTATGAAAGACTGACGCATAGCGTTATCAGGTGTTTGGGAAGCGATGCCACAGAAACCAGTATGCCTACGGTCCTGAGCAGTACTGCTGCGGATGGACTGCTATGAAGTTGGTAGGAATTAAAAAACTTCAGCAGCAAAAAGAAATGGAGTTACTAGTGGCCGCTGATCCTTTTATGCAGTTATACCAGAGACAAAAAGACCCAAACGTACCGGGTGCTAGGGTGGGCACCGAGTACTGGGACCAGCTTTGCCCCATGTCAGGAGACGGCGACATCGGTGGCCCTGGAACTTGGTTGCGTGTTTTTACCGTGGGCAAACTGGGCACTAGAAATTACAATGCCCTGACTCCCTCGCAGCAGGAGCCTCTCAAATGAGGCCACATCCCCAAGACAGCCCCCTACGCAGTCAGCTTCCTGCCCTCCACCTTTCCAGTCCCCACTTGCCCCTCAGCCCTAGGGGCGCCCCAGGAGTATGCTACAGCAAAAATTGTTGATGGGGCTCCCACCACAGCCACATATTACTTTGGAGGTAGGGGGAAACCAGTTCCCTTTTCAGTGGATTCTGGAGCGGATAGATCCTGTTTAACTGCCCAGGATTTTCCACATGCTCCTCCAACCGCTGCTACCTGTTTCACCATAGGGAACTCTGGCACCTCCACGCCCCATCCTGAGGCGGATCAGTTGCCCCTCACTATAGGACACCTGTTGGATACGCACTCCTTTCTGGTGGGAACTGATTTGGATGTCCATTTATTGGGGAGAGATTTGCTACGCAAATTGAGCATTTCATTATTTACGACATGGCCTTTCACCCCTCCCCACGCAACAAGCTCAAAGGTGCAATGTGCGCCCTTGCGTTGCTCAGGGCTCCCTTGTCCTCTGTTGGCCCCAGGGATCACTAGTGGTGCATGCCAGTGAAGGCACTTCCATCCATCCATCCATCCATCCATCCATCCATCCATCCATCCATCCCCCTTCGCCCTGGCTCCTGACTTCGGTGGGCGTTTTCCCCTCGTCCACCTGGCCTGGGGCAGGAAGCTGCCTGCATGGCAGCCCCGAGACAGACACCCGAGGGAGGCTCCTCCCTGCACTTGGCATTGGCTGCTCGGCGTCTCCCTTTCAGGGCAGGCCAGCGTTCCCAGATCCTCCTACTTTTCCTGACGGCGGCCGAAGAAACGCTGCCCTCAGCAGCCTCTTGGAAGGCTCCCTGCGGGAACCTCTCGACCCGGGCAAAGGCAGAACAGCCTCTCCCCCCTGTCGGGGCACCGGGGGGGGAGGGGAGGAGGCAACATTCCTGGGGGACATTTCTGACCCTTCTGGCGCATCCCTGAGCTCCCTTCCGAACAGGCCACTCCTGCCATCCACAGGCATCATTTGAGATGCCAGGAACCAAGCTGCACGAAGCCCCCGCAAGCCGAAAGAGCGCGCCCCACCAACACAGGTTGGAGGAAGGCAGAAACGGCCCCTGCTACCTGCCCCACCATCTCCAGACTAAGCATCTCCCCCACCTCCGCCCTAGGAAGCCCAGCAATCCTGCCCCCACCAGCACTGGGGCTCTCCCTCAGAGAGTCCAGCAGACGCCCTCCCAGCTTGCCGAGGGGGTGGCTCAGTGCCGGGGGGGATTCTCGGCCTCCTCAGCCGCCTCCTCCTGGGAATCCAGCAGCAGCAAGAGCTCCAGGTCTGCAGCAGAGTCGGGCATCTTCGGATGCCGGATGCCCTTTGGCTCTGTGCGGGAAGGGAGGGGTTAGCTGCCCTCAAAGGGCCCCCAGAAACAGAGCCTCTCTGCCCCTCCAGATTGGCGGGGCTCAACCCTCTCCTGGCCTGCCTCCTTACCTCTGGGGTTGAGGGCCCTCAGGGCCACGTGCAGAGAGATACCCAGCAGGCAAACGGCAAAGCCCAACCAGTTCAATGGAGTGAGGTGGTCTCCCATGAGGTGGGCAGCGAGGAACAGGGTGCAGACTTCCTGGGGACAAGGGACCGTATCGACTCATAGCACCCCAGGCAGAAGTTGCTTGGGGGCAATTAGACAAGCTTGGTTCCAATGCTGGGAGTTTCCCTCACAGGGTTCCAAGTCAAGTTGGTCTTAGGGCCTTAAAACGTCCCCCTGGAACTGCCAGGGGTGTCAGGCTTGGCCCTTCTGGATGTTTTGTTTTTGCTTTCATACAGTTGTGAACTGTATGCAATTACTGGACTAGATAAGCGTGCATGCATTCTCAGGGCCCCACGGGGTATAAAAACCCGGTACTTACATTTTTGTCTCTCGCGCTGGAGGAAGGAAGAGCAGACAATCAGACCTCTTGAGGCCTGGAGGCGCTTTCTGAGATCCATTAAGCAAAGAACAGGCCAGAAAAGAGCCATGCTCAAATACCTTGAAGATCCCAGAGATGGAGAAGGTGAGGCTGGAGGTTCTTGATACCAAGAGAAACTCGGAGAAGCCCAGTCCAAACGCCAAAACCCCTCCCAGGGCCAGCTTCCCCAGGAGGTCCAGCAACAGCTCCACCTCGTGGAAACGGAAGAGCTTCTCTGACGCAGACAAGGACAGGCCTGGAAAATGAGGGAGGCAGAAGGAGACTCGCTTGCAGACCGGATGGGAGAAGCAAGTCCCAGAGTTTGACAGGAGAGACGCAGACAGACAAGGGCCCCGCCCAACAGTCGGGAGGGAGGCCTTCTCGCTGCCTTCCTCCCGGGAGCCAGAGAGCACCGAGGGAAGCCTGTGCTGGGGAAGCAACGTTACCAGAAAAGCAGAAGGGCAGCCCACTGGTACAAGCCCCCCACCTCTCCCAGCACCGGGTTCTCTCTCAGCCAAACAGCTCGTCTTTGCAGACTGGATCAGCAGCCCTGGCGCCGTCTCGAGTGTTGGGGAGGTTAGGGTGGGCCACGTTTCTGATCAGAAGCTGAAAAGGTGCTGGGGGCGAGTGTGACCAGGCTGTCACACCTTCAGAGCCTCCTTGAAGCTGGGTCTTTTCCTGGATTCACACAATGAGTGTGCAACTCCAGGAAAGCATACGTTTAAGCTGAGGAGCCAACTGGACAACCACTACAAGATGCTTCAGCGGGCAAGTTGTTGGTTTCTCTGTAACTCAAGTGTCTATTTTCTCAGGTTTGCACAACTGGGATCAGCCCTAAAGTGCTGCACGGTTCTGTTATGAACACACAAAGAGTGTTTTGTTTTTTTCTCAGCTTTCCTGCCTTCCCAAACTTATTTTCTCACCAAGGGAAAATATCAATGAAATGAAAAACACCCTTGCTGAATAGCCAGTTGAGCAATCCTTTGCCCGCGTAAACAAAAATAGCTGAGCCACAGGTGCCCCCCTTGGCTTTACCCACATCTCAGACTTGACGCATCACCACGATGCTACTTGTGCAGGTCCAATAAAAATCACCTGGAAGGTGCTCAAACGTCTCAAGTCAAGGGCAGGCTAATAACTGACTGGTCAGCTTAACTGATTTGGCAGCCCTTTCCCCTTCTGCCTTTCAGAAGACCATAAAGACGTGGCTTTTTACCCAGGCGCTGGGGTAGAGTGAGGATGTCTGGAGGTGGTTGCGAGGCATCCCACAGGGATGAGCGAGGTGCCGGGTTTTGCTTGTTTTTATGGTTTTAAGTTTTATGGGTTTCTATTTTACAGTTCTGTATTTTCTTCTTGTTACGAGCTCCCCAAAGTTGTGTTTTAAGATGGGCGGCCATACAAATATTTTAAATAAACAAAGGAACTTCGCAGGTGGACCTTCACTGACTTTCTTGAAAGCTCAGAGGGCAGGACATTTTTGGCACCCAGCTAGGGAAGGGAAGTGGAGGCTAAGAGGATGGGAAATATCACACGTTCCAGTTAAAGATAAGACTAGGGATTGATTACTTTGCCTGATTTTTAATGCAAGTAACTGCGTCATTCACCCTAACAATCAAAGGCTAAGAAAAGGGGAAGAGGCTAGAAGCCAACCTGCCCGCCTGCCCTTTATAAGGAAAGAAAAAAAACTCTTGACCTGGACACAGGAGCCACCATGGAGACAAGCAAGCAAAGGGACGCGAAGGAGAGTTGGCCCAACGGGGAAGAAAGGACCCAACCTGCTAAGAAGGGCCCTTTCTCCTTGGCGCCCCAGGGAGCTTCCCGCTGGCAGAAGAAGCCGAAGCGCCGTCAAGAGAAGCGGGCTACCTCTTCCTCTGGGAGAACCCCACTGACCAGCGGGGGGACAAATGATGCAGCTAGAGACAGCCCTGAAGAGGGACTGTGAGGCTCTGGACTGAGGCTGGAGGCTGACAGAGCTCAGGGCACAGGAGTGGTCTAGGTGGGACCCCACTCAGATCTGGAGAGCGGAAGGGCTGGGCGTTTCTCAAAAGCAAGGTAGCCGAAGTACAGTCACGTGCCGTTCCACAGAGGGAAACAAAAGCGGGAGGTCAGGTTAGGACACCACTGGGGACGCCCAGGGAGCTTCCAACTGAGCTAAGAGCGATGGGGCAGGTAAAGGAAGTGTGCGCCACCCCCAAGGACACCTATCAGCCCCTTCCTAAAATCTGCAGAAAGGCTAAAGGACAAAGGAATTCAGGCCACCAAGCAGCCCAAAGGACTTCCTGGCTCCCAAAGAAAAGGAAGAAAGGGGCGGTCCTGCTGGAGGAGAAGAGTAAAATGGGAAGGGGCCCCATGGCTCAGCATCTACTGGGCTTTCGTCTTCCAGAAACAAGTTTCAGTCGGAGATCGCGAAGGCCTGTGCAGATGTCATGCCAAAGCCCCTTCCCGTCATCCCACAGAGCTAGAGAGGAGCGAATCTTGTTCTTGGACCCGGGTTCAACGCCCCTACAAGTAATCTGCGGGAGAGCTACAAATACGAGTACCAAACTCACAAAAAATGCGGAGATGGGCACAACAAACCCTTTAGAGGGCTGAAGAACCGCGATGAAGATGAATTTCATCAGGGACAAATGCGGACTCTTCAGGTCGGGGAGAGAAAAAAGGTCGAAAATACAGGTTCAGGATGAGGGAGACCGCATGGGGCGGCAGGGCACGCCGAAAGGGTCCGGGCATCTTGGCGGATCACAAAGGACAGGGTGATGGACAGGGCGATGCAAGTGCAGAAGGGTAAAGAAGGCGGCAGACGCGGTCCTCGGACGTGTCAACGCGAGCGAGTCACACCGAAAAGCCCTGGGCCTTGTCCGACCGTGCCCAGAATGCGGTGCCCTGCGCTGGGTGCCGCCTGTCACAAAGGGCCCTGACAGACCAGGGTGCAGCTGAACCCCCCCCCCGAGGGTGTCCGCGCAGAGAGCAGGGGGAGCGCAAGAGGCTAGATCTCAAGCGCGCGGGTTTCGGCGGGCCCCCCGGGGCGCGGCCCTCGCGGGAAGAGCCG